CACTTTTACCAGCTGTGAAGCTGCTATAACACAAACAATATAGGATAAATAATGGAATAGTCTACTTCTATCTGCAGTGTACCACTATGAAAACTACATATTCTGTGCTTTACCACATAATCATTATGAACACGTGGCAAACATTAGTAGCTTGTACTTATCAAAAATTACATTAATGAGATTATGGGTTAGAAGTAGTAGTAGGTTTTTTTTCACGATGGGGTTAAGTACAACATCTACGTGCAGAGTTTTGACAAACAAGCCTTGTTTGGGTACCTTTTTTTTATTTGTCTACTGCAGATATAGAGTAAATTATTCAGTAAATACTTCAACTTAAAGCCTAAATCTGAAAATGACTAGATTCACTTGTTATCCCGTAAGCAGTCTGCCAAGCTGCTTGTTAAAAAAATAAATAAACAGTATCCTAAATACAGCTGAGTCTTCTTTAATGACTTTTACTTCACACATGTAGTCTGTGACTGTAAAAATGGCTGTGTGCTTCCTTATTGTCTCTGATCACTGTATCACATGATCTCTAAAAAAAGCTTGTTTGACTAAAATGCATTAATGGTATTTGAAAGGGTCCTCGATAACATTACCATGTGGGATTAATATCCCAGTAAATTGAATTACTGAATACCGGCACATGTCTAGTCAAAAGTGCAGACTTGAATGTGTTGATACGAAATGCAAATTCATTACACAATTATCTGCGTAATTAGCAAAAACGTTTTTTCTCAAAATCAGCTCATCAGAAAATGCTTATTTAGGCTCAAAAATCTCACAACACCATAACGATTGCAAAGATGTTTAAGTTAATGTTAAAGAGGGGAACATTAATTGCTAAAATTTGGTAAAATGGGCAGAAATTCCTGCTTGTGTTAAAGGGGCCCGAGTCTCTGTTGTCTGCTTAAGGAGGAAATGAGTCTCCCTTCTTCTTAGCAAAACTATGTGACTGCATAGCCAGAAATATTTCGACATCGTGGCTCTTGCTTTATGTATCCTCTCTGGTTCCTATCAGGGTTCTGGAATCTATTAAGGAGCCAAAAAGTTCTGGAACTACAGGCGCATTTCCACCATGGCTCTGGAACCTTTTAAAAGAATAAAGGGTCTTGAAATCCAAAGGTGCATTACCACCAAAAGACAGGAACCATCTTAAGCACACTAAAGAATCTTTTAGAGAAATCTAGAATTAAATATCAACAATAGTGTAAACGTTGTTTTTCTCAACAGGTAAATAGAACTGAAGAAAATATTGTTTATTGATTGTTGTGATACGTCATATTGTGATATCGGCCTTTGCAATGCTGATTATGCAGATATGAACTATGCAAATGAGACAAATTTCTTGCAATAGCTGTATTGTGACCTGGGAGCATCCTGACCAAACCTCAGATGATCAATGTAAGTACAAAACCCAATTAGACTGTATATCGTCAACATCTTATATAGCAATCTAACTACAGTATGGAAATTTGCAGGCCTGCTGGTAAAGTGACTATGGCACAACCTCACATTCCTCTTTTCTGTCCATAGTGCCTGCTTTAAGATCCACTTTCCTGGTTGTCTGTAAAATGGAGATTAAAAATATTTAGATGTTTAAAGAAGCACTCTGGCACAGCTATTTGTAAGCCACATTCTGAAAGCCTCCCACTCCTGCTAATCACCTGCAGTCAGACTTGGCTACCTCACAGCAGTAAAACCTGACATTTAACAAGGAGTGAAACATTTGAAAACGTCTCCTTCAGCTTTCATTTAAAATGGGGCTCACAGGTTAGGATTTTGACTTGTTTGAATTGTGAAGTCTGGCCTTAAATGTCACTGTGGTTTGTTCCCAATTTTGTGTAAAAGGAACAAAACGCTTTTCAAGCAGACATAAAAGGCATCAAAGTGCCTGAGCCTTTTGAAAAACTAAAGAGTTCTGGATTTATGGGTTTCTAGAAATATTTGTGTTCTAGAACCATAGGCGTGTTTCTACAGAGGTCTCTGAACTCTTCCAGGAGCAAAAGTGTTTTGGAATTCTAAAAACTTTAGTGGAAATAAAATGTTCCAGGACAGAAGGCATGTTTCCACAGAGTATTCAAAACCATTACAGGAACCAGACAGTTCTGGAATTCTGGACACGTTTGTAGAAACTTTTCAGAAACTAAAGAGGTTCAGGAACTATAGGTGTTCTTCAACCGACATTCCAAAGCCATTCAAGAAGTAAAGTGGTTCCAGAATTATAGACAGGTTTCTAGAAGCGTCTGATTAACTACAGTGTTCCAGAACTATAGGCATGTTTGCATTGAAGTTCTGGAGCCAAAGAACTGAAGAATTCTAAAACTGAAGGCAATCCCCCCCATGGGTCCAGAATCTTTTAAGGAACTAAAAAGTCAGAGAAACATAAGCTTGTTTCCAGCACTACTCCAAACAAGAACTACAAAATTCCTGAATGAGAACTGCCCAGTTCCTGAATGAGTCTGTGTTTTGTGTTCCCACAGCTCTGCAGGAAACCGTGATCATTATGTAAAATTACAGAAGTGATGCAAACTGTGCAATGGTTACTTTATTTAAAGAAAGAAGTAGAAACTAAAGCTGTTTTCTTTTTTAAGCAGGGTGCTTAATTCCCAATCCACCTAAATGCACCAAATGCAGGGTAAATGCTGAGCAGATCTCTGTCAGCCACTTTCCATTTTAATCACTGGTTATCCTTTGTTGCTGTATTTGCAAATAACCACAACGTGGTCATGTGGGTTTTTAAAAATGCTAATCTTGGTTGGTTAGAGTACACGGCTTCACCAGTACTTTCTAGCTCCGCGTCTGATATCCGCATTATTATGAATTGCAAATGTAAGAACTGAATGTCAATAACAAAAAAATAAAGATAAAGAGTTACTGTCCCAAAAGGGAGGATGGTGGTATGGCCAAAGGATATTGGTCTGGGTTTAATAAAAAAAAAAGTCTGTAGGCTTTTCCTTTTAAGTTTCGGCTCCTCTCAGTGTTTCTTCCTCACGCTCTCAGGAAGTGTTACTTGGTGGAAAATAGTTTTTTCTTTTCCGTTCCTTTTTATTTAACATCACACTGTGACTATAATTATCCCCAGTAAGACACCAATCTTTTGTAAATGTTTGTACGCTGGTTTGCTGTGTGCTCTATTTCCAGGCCTGGAGAGTTACAGACGTATTCGCTTTATTGTTCTCACTACTAAAAAACAAACTGATGTGCTTGATTTTAACCTCTAGGGGTCAATGAATGCGCCAACGCATCAAATGATATGTTTCTCTGTGTTTTTATTAATATCTTTATGATAAAGCAGTGCAGAAATACGGTCCAAACATTTCCTGAATCTGTAGAATCACCCTTCCATTCTGTCCATTGCAAGATCGTATGTGACATCCAGGGTTATGAGGCAATTAAGACAATGCCACAGTGATAAGTAGTAGTGAGGATGATGGACCAAGAGGACATGACTGATGAAGAGCATTACAGTGATGATTACAGCGCTCACTTCAGAAGCTCAGATGTGTGTGTGTCCACTGCTCTACTTTAGTGGTCTTTGGGGTCCTTTATTAAGGGCTTTTCTTTCTCATTCACTCTCAAATTGAGGCTTGATTCATTATAATGCCAGAGGTGTGGAACTACCCAACATCCCTTCCATCATCTGCTCTCACTGCATTAATCTTGTTTGATTTCCTTCAATCAGATCTGTCTGACTCAGCGCTGCTCACAGCAGGACACACACATTTCTTTGTTAAATCTGGCCAAACAAAATAACAACAAAACTATCAAATACCATAAATGCTCCCCCATGGCGTGCACCTCTTGAAACAGCTCTTATTACATTTTGTTTAATCATTTGTTATGTGTAGGTCATTCAAACAAGCATGGAAATTCTTTCAAAAGTTCAGATCTTAAAGGTTCAGCTGTCAAACTGCTCAACAGGGTGAAAAAACAGGTAAATAAATTTCCTTAGGAAAAGGTTTCAGTCTCTCAGAACAAGAACCCACCATAACAAACTGCTTCTTCCTGCATGACTTTTATGCAATAATAATAAGAATAAAGGCAAGTTGAGAAACAGACCAACTGCCTGGGTATAAATGGTGGATCTGTGTGTCAGTTATCGGCCTCTCGCCTGTAACTGGTGGATTTGTGTGTCTTTCTGAGTGAAACTGACCAATGGAGACTCAAGAAATAACTAAGCACTGACCCATCACATTGAAAACACTTCATTTTCCATTCAGTCACCTCGGAAAGTGATGTGTAAGAAGTTCACAGCTGATGAAGTTGCTGCAGTGGTTTTGGAAGGTAGCGATGAGGAGAACATGTATCTACTATTTTATTCATAAAGTCCACTGCATTTGTGAACCTGAGACTTTGGCAAACCCATTTCAGGGACCAAAACAATTCCACCTGAGTAAAGCTGTGTTTTCACAAGAGATATCCAGAATTTCTAAAACCAGATTAGATTTTTTCAGCATTATGGCTGGACTCTCTCTTTACACGGTGCTCCAGGTCAAAAGGGCCTCATTACAGAGAGAGCTGAAGTCGTTCTGAACATGTTCATATACAATATGTGGGTATCATGTTGTATCCAACTGATTTTTAAGGAGAATTTAAAAATATATGCAAAAATCAAGAAAAAGCCCAGAGCGTTGAACTGAAGAGTCAAGTGTGTGAGAGCAGGAGTGACGCAAGACTTCCTGCGTCTGTCCTTAAAGGTTTGGAGAAACTTTGCTAGAACTTTCTCGCCGTTCAATCAGGTAAGAAAACAATCCTTTAAAACTAAGACAATATTGAAAATTACGGTTTAAGCACCTAAAAGGTTTGAGCTGTGTAGGCTTTAGCTCTATTTCCAAGCTAATCCTGTACTTGCCCAAATATTTACACATGATTTCTTCCCTGATTTGTCTTTAACATGTTTTGTTACTGCAAACTGACAAAGAAAATGTTCACGTGTATCAAAACATTTCGAAAAGCTTGATGTCCCCAAACTTTTGACAAGTAGTGAGTGTGTGTACCTCTTGCTCTTCCTCTTGTTGTAGTGCTTTGGCCTCTTCCCCCTCTGCCTCTAGCCCCTCGGCCTCTTCCTCGACCTGACGACGTAGGGACTGAATCTTCATCTGACTCCATAGAGATGTCAAGTGGCTCATCCGAGAGGTCAGCATCAGCGTCTCTGACAGAATCGCCTCGGTCCCTGTGGGCTTTTGCCCGACTAATAGCCTAAACAAAACATACAGCACTCAGTGTAGCGCATGAGGAGAAGCACAAATTTGTTTTTGTACTGCCTTTATAGTAAAACAGAGGAAAAAACAAAATGGCTCTGATCCTGTACAGTGCTTTATACAAAAGTTACACGTTTCATGTATTTTTTTATACATATACCCCCCCCCCAATACAACATACTGTTTATTTGCTATTCGTTTCATGAACTCAAAAATTTCAGCTGAACCTGAGTATTGGGACAAATGAATGCCAGGAGATTCAGATTGTGCAGGTTTTTCATGCTCCCTTAACTGTGAACGCATTAAACTGCTGCGAATACGTAGATCTGGTTGAAGTAACTGGAGTTTGCGTTTGGGCTTTCATTTCTTTGATGTAAAAGGCACAAAATCAGATGAAATCCTGATGAGATGAGAATTTACTACAGAAACAAAGGTAGTAAACTGTCACTGGGGTCAGTCCCCCTCTTGTCACTGGGGAGGGACCCTCAAAGGTACATAGCAGTACCTTTAGCCAGGGAACATAACTGAACCATAATCCACTGAAATGATATTTTCTGAGCTGTACTGACTCCACACACCCCGTCTCGCCTCCAGGCTTTTTGTTTTATTGCTCTGTTTTAAAACATTCAGTTATGAAAAGGTATAAATATGTACTTTTAGTCTAATTGGACCCTAAAACCACTGTTGTACCTTTGAGGGAACATTTACATTGTTTTTTCCCCTTGATGAATGAAAAATGTACCTGCACAGAATCTTTATGTCTAACAGTGTAGGGATGGAAAACCAAGCATTTATTAACATTAGATTCCTGCAATAACTAATCAGAACCACTGCAGAAAAAGCTGGGCACTCCTGAAAGAAAGAAAGACACAAAAAAGAAAGAAACTACTGGAGTTACAAGCCGTAATTTCCGTAATCAGGCTGTCTCAGGATGACTGCAACAGCTGATGATAGGAACACAGCTGTGGGGGAAAAAAAAACCAAAAAAAAACCGCAAAAATAAAATCCAAAGAAGTGGCTGCATTTCCGCATCCGCAAAAGACTTCAAGAGAAGCTTTACAAGTCGTGAATCTCTCATCAGCACCAAGAACAGAGGGACCAGGCTGGAGCTCACAGTACACAGATGAGCCTGAGGAATTTTACAGACAGATGAGGTACAGATTAATCTTTACCAAAGTGATGGAAGAGAAAGCCTGGAGAAAGAGATGGACTGCAAAGCACACCACTTCATCTGCGTCTTCGTTCATGATGTAGCTGGTGATGGTAGAAGCAGAATCATTTCTTATGACATTCTGTTTACGTCCAAGCAAATGACTCCAAACTCTTTGGCCAGAAGCTCATAAGGTAAGTAAGTAAGTAAGTAAAATTTATTTATATAGCGCTTTTTACAACAGGTGTTGTCACAAAGCAGCTTTACAAGGAAATCAGCATTACAAAAAGAAATCCGGGTCCGAGCCCCCATGAGCGTCGCCAGTGGCGACAGTGGCAAGGAAAAACTCCCTAAGAAACAGGAAGAAACCTTGAGAGGAACCAGGACTCAGAAGGGGAACCCATCCTCCTCTGGTCAACACCGGATAGTAAACATAAGGTAGCAAGACAATGACCTGAAGAATACTGCAAACATAGCCATCAAAAGGGAGAGGAAGGAAAGTTGTAGACTAGTCAAGTTTTTTGCATTTTACCTGCTGAAGAGGAAACTATAGTCAGGTACCCCCTAAAACAAGAGCCATCAGAAAAAGGGTGCCATAAAGGCTTTTCAGAGGAGTCTAAATGAAGTTATCGGAAGGGTCTGGTGATGTCAACAGGTCGCACACTTGAGGGAGTTACTAAATGTAAAGTCACTTTTTATTAACTTTAAATTATATTTTGCTTTAGAACTTTTTCTTTGTCCCAATACTTGTACTTAGCTGAAATTGGAGAAGTAAACACATTTTCCTGTACTGTTTATTCAGCATGAAAAACACTGCAGCGAAATAAAAGCAGACATTCTCTGCTTTTAGCCCCATGTTTAAAACAGACTTTATAATATATAACAAAAATAACCCATTTCACCTCACTGCACCAATATTTTTGCTTTTCAAAATACACAATACTGTGCAATAGTCAGATACCACCCTTCATGATTCAAGTCATCCCAAGCACATTCAATTATGTTGAGGTCTGGACTCCAGGGTGGACAGTTCATCGTTCTGAGAAAACCAGCAGTGTTTTTATTTGAATTTCTTCTTTTTTGTCTATTTTCTTTCCGGTAACAGCCAATGGCTTCTTGACAGCTACTCTGCCTAATGACCACCTGCCTAATACGCTGCTGGTCCTCTGCGTGCCGCCAAAACAGTTTAGATGCGCCAAGGATCTTACTGTGGACTCTACAAGACCTCTGAAGGGCAAACTGTCTCCTTTGTTATGTTCCTCAAAACATTCCAGAACAATCCGTACAGTGTGGCAGGTTACATTACTCTGCTGAAAGAAGTCACTGCCTTTGGGGAATATTACTGCCACAAAGGGTTGGACGTGGTCTGCAATGATGTTTAGGTAAGCGGCACACAGGTGGCCACATGAATGCATGGAGCCAGGGTTTCCCAGCAGAACATACACCACAGCATCACACTCCCTCCACTGGCTTGTCTTCTTCCCACAGTTTCCCGGGGCAAACGGGGTAAACGGGGCACACGTACCCAACAGTCCGTGTGATGTAAAAGAAAATGGGACTCATCTGACCAGATAGCCATTTCCATTGCTTCACAGCCCAGCTGCGACACCTGTGTGCCAACTGTGTCCTCCACACATTCGATCGTGGGGGGATTAGCATGAACACTCTGTCTTCGGCTACACAGCCCAATATGCAGCAGGGTGCATACGGGAGCGTTCACTTACCGTCTAATACACCCTAGACCTGGACATGATGAGGCGCTGTTACAAGATTATTAATGTTATAAGCTTAACCTGTGAGTGGTTAATGTTTTGGCTCATTGGTGTATGTATCTATACATGCATACATATACTTACGTGCGTGTGTGTGTGTGTGTGTGTGTGTGTGTGTGTTTAACTAACCTCTTTGACTTCTTCATCTTCCTCTGCAGTGTTTCTCTTTGAGTCTCGGAAGCGGCGAATCTAAGATTGCATGTGCACGCACACGCGCACACACACACACACACACACACACACACACACACACACACACACATACAGTCAGAGCACTTATTCAGAATATATTTGTGCAACCTCTGAATTCACTTGCTCTGTGAGTCACAATAAAACATCACTAAATCTGTGCAGATTGTTGCTCCTGTGCTCTATATTACCTGCCATCAACACAGAAACGTCACTCATATCTCAGCCCACTGCTGTGAATGATGTCAAACTGTGTCAGTGCAAGGCAAAAGCCTAGCAAACCATCAGAACTTAAAAAAGTCTAAGTGTGTGACATTTTGTCCATTAGTTCACACAGCAGGCTTGTGTTTTATTAAGCAGAGGAACAAACAGTGGAAGAAAAGAGAAGACAGTGCCAAGAGAGACATTCCACTGGCATTCTCAGATCAGAATGAAAAAAACAGAGACAGAAACAAATGGTAAGACAAATTAGACAAAGAAAAGAGAGACAGACCTGTGATATGGTTGCTATGGGTGACAAGCATCACACAAAATGGATAAAGTGCTTGAACAAAAGAGTGTTTACCCCCCACCATTAAGCTCAGCAAAAAAGACGAAAAGGTCGACGAATCTGACGGCATTCAAACAGCATCTACCCCGCAGGCGTCTAGCAGTTATTGATGTTTTGCTGTAGTTTTGAAATGTAATAACACTTACATAACCTGACTGATACACCGATCAGGCATAACATTATGCACCCTTGTTTCTACACTCATTGTCCATTTTATCAGCTCCACTTACTATATAGGTGCACTTTGTAGTTCTACAGCTACAGACTGTAGTCCATCTGTTTCTCTGATACTTTGTTAGCCCCCGTTTACCCTGTTCTTCAGCGGTCAGGACACCCATGGACCCTCACAGAGCAGGTACTATTTGGGTGGTGGATCATTCTCAGCACTGCAGTAACACTGACGTGGTGGTGGTGTGTTAGTGTGTGTTGTGCTGGTCTGAGTGGATCAGACACAGCAGTGCTGCTGGAGTTTTTAAACACCTCAGTGTCACTGCTGGACTGAGAACAGTCCACCAACCAAAAATATCCAGCCAACAGCGTCCTGTGGGCAGCGTCCTTTGACCACTGATGAGGGACTAGAGGATGACCAACACAAACTGTGCAGCAGCAGATGAGCTATTGTCTCTGACTTCACATCTACAAGGTGGACCGACAAGGTAGGAGTGTCTAATAGAGTGGAAAGTGAGTGGACAGTGTTACTGCAGGGCTGGGAATGATCCACTGTATATTTACAACAGCTGTCGTCACAAAGCAGTTTGACCATTAGTATAAGATATGCAGTACATAGTGAAACGAAACAACATTCCCCCAGGACCCTGGTGCAGCACAAGAATACAAATGCAAAACAATACAATACACAGTGCAGACAATAAAGAACATGAAACTGCCAGACAGAACATAGAAATAGCACCATTTGTCGAACCTGGAGAGGCTGCTGAGTGTGCTACTGCGCCGCCATCTTGGATCTGATAAAGGGATTTTTAATATCTCAGATAACCGACCAAAAAGTCTTTTTAGCAAATGCTGTAACCGCAAATATCGCCAGAACTGTGATCTGGACAGACATTGGGCCTCATAGTCCAATATCTTCCTATTTCTTAAATGTGTTCTTGAGTAAGGTCCTAAGAAAAAGTCTACGTCAGATTTATGACGTGTTCTTAAACTGCAGAACTGTTCACACCTGCTCGAGTGTGTGTAGATTCTGTTCTAGCCTAAGAACAAATCCCAAATAAGAAAACATTGCAACGTCAGAATCTTCATGGGTTTTAAGCAGAAATTTCATCTTAAGAGTGGTTGGTGAATGAGGCCCAAGGGGTTTTTCATTTTTGGTCATAGTATCATCTGAGTGTTGAGCAGGGCGATAGTCGAGTACATGACTCGTTCTCCAGGGAGGTCTGCAAAGTGTGTGTGAGTGTGTGAGCAGCATGATTACTACTTCATCACTTTAATGAATAATAATTCTGTCCTGAGCTCTGTTCCTCTAACTATAAAGCTTTTCCACCAGCAGCCCAGAGGCTAATGACATCATATGCACATACAAAGGAACTTTTCATCTACCTTTAATGAACCCATGGGTCTCTGACCTGCTTTTCTGAAATCACCAGTTTAACAGCACTGGGAAGTGCAAAATCTTATGCAAGTCACTAAATTAGTGCAATACAGTACAGTAACTACATGTACATGAAGTATTTGTCATATTCACTGATATATTCAAGAATACTGTAAAGCTTCATTACAATGACATAACCATTCTGAAAGATTCATTAAATGTATTGTTTAATGAGTAGAAAGCATATTAATAATGAATGGAAATCACATAACATGACAACATGATATGTTTATGAATGCACTCAAATCTCTAAACTCATCCTCAGAACAGGGGAGTGAATATATAATTGTTGCTGTTTATTACTGTATAATGCACATCACACATTCAGAACGCTCACCTTATGAATATTTTATGAAACGTAGGTAATGCATAAAAATGTGAGAATGCTTTTAATTTGCACCTTCTTTATCAGGAAGGCTGTTTGAACTGTATTATTTAGACTTAACTAGTAACTGATATCTTAATTCTCTCTACTTTTTGTGTCTAGTCATGCAAAGTGGAAAATAAACATACATTACCAACTTATGTTTATTCTAAATCCGTGGTTCCCAAACTTTTAACAGTCCTGTATCCCTTCAGACAATAAACTTCCTCCTCTTGCTCCTTATATAAGCATGTGCACATATTGCCATGATACACACACTATACAGACAAAAGTATTGGGACACCCCTTCTAATTATTGAGTTGAGGAGTTTCAGCCACACCCACTGCGGAAAGGTGGATAAAATTAAGCACGTAGCCTTGCAGTCTTGATAGACCGACGCTGGCAGTAGATGGTCGTACTGATAAGCTCAGTGACTTTAAACACGGCACTGTCATAGGATGTCACCTCTGCCACAAGTCAGTCTGTGAAATTTCTGTCCTGCTAGATCTGCCCCTGTCAACTGTAAGTGTTATTATTCTGAAACAGAAGCATCAGCTCAGCAACAAACCGGTAGACCATGCAAACTGGTGTAAAGCACACCGCCACATGACTCTGGAGCAGTGAGACGTATTCTGTGGAGTGACGAATCACGGTTCTCTATCTGGCAGTCTGGTGCACGAGTCTGGGTTTGGCAAATGGCAGAAGAACGTTATCTCCCTGACTGCATTGTATCCAGCTGTAACGTTTGGTGGAGGAGGGATAATGCTGTGAGGTTGTTTTTCAGGGGTTGGCCTAGACCTCTTAATTCCAGTCAAGGGAAATCTTAGTGCTTCAGCACCAAGACATTTTGGACAATTCTTCACTTACAACTTTGTGGGGCATGACTGAGCCCCAGTGACCAAAGCAGCTCCATAAAGACACGGCTGGGTGAGTTTGGTGTGGAAGAACTTGACTGGCCCACACAGAGTCCTGACCTCAACCCCATCAAACACCTTTGGGATAAACTAGAACAAAGATTGTGAGCCAGGCCATCTCGTCCAACATCAGCGTCTGACCTCACAAATGCTCTTCTGGACGAATGGGCAAAAATTCCCACAGACACTCTCCGAAATCTTGTAGGAAGCTTCCCAGAAGAGTGGAAGCTGTAACAGCTGCAAAGGGGGACCAACTTTACATGAATGCCTATGGATTTTGAATGGGATGTCAAAAAAAGCCTCTTTGGGTGTAATTTGAATGTGTCCCAATACTTTTGTCCATATAGTGTATGTGAGACATCAGTCCCCCTTAAACCATCAAATATGTTGATTATGCGATGACGCTTAAGACCAGATATTCTGAATAAAGTTGAATAAATATTGCAGTGTCCTAAATGTGGGCACACATGCATGTGTGAAAGGGTCTGCGGCTGTAAAATGAAAAACGAAAAATAAAATCTTCACTAATGTGCCACGGACCTCATTCGGCACAGCAACATCATCTGCTTTAACAGCCTTACAGCTCAGCTCAGTGCTACTCACAGCAGCTACAAACTAACACCTCACTACACCCACAAACTAAATCACATCTGTGAATGTGAAAACTTGGGCACATGGCTAACGAGGTATACAGGCTTCAACAACAATTATCCCTTTAACATCCCAGAATTATTTTTTATTTTAAGGCTTATTATACAGTAAAAATGGACACCTTAATGCAAACTAATGGAGCATTTCTTAGGTTAAAAAAGTGTATAATAATACTTTGTGCCTGGTGGGCTCATGGCGTGTTAAGAGGTTAATAATTAATACTTTATTCACTCCAACAACAGCACACGATAAACTAAAGAATTTCACATTTTCACGTTTTTTTTTGTTTTTTTTTGCTGAAAGTCCTCACTTTTAAGGTTAAATTGCTTCAATCTAGGCAAATCAAATGGTATACTTTTCCATCGTGAGCTAAAGAGAAACGAAAGCCAGTGTTTCTGTATGGAATTTGTTCCATTCCATACAGTTGTACTCAGTGTTTAATTACTTTCTTATGAAAAGGGCTTACAAACTGTAAACTAAAGGCGCAACACACAGAAGGAAGTCTTTTACACAAATAACTATTAATAAAGAGCACGTCTGTCATGTGCTGGATGTTATAAATATCCCACTCATTCATCACTGCAGCATGTATGCAAGAGCGCAATGCTATTAAGAAATCTGGCACTGTCAAGTCAAAGTTTATTTATGTAGCGCTTTTTACAGCAGGTGTTGTCACAAAGCAGCTTTACAGAAAAATCTGGGTCCGAACCCCATGAGCGTCGCCAATGGCGACAGTGGCAAGGAAAAACTCCCTAAGAGCAAGAAAAAAGAAAAAGGGGAACCCATCCTCCTCTGGTCAACACCGGATAGCAAACAGCATGAGTATAAAACAAAAGCACTGGCTTTAGATAAAACCCAGCATTCAGAGAGCTGCTTGCAGCAGTGTCAGTAAGGATGTCTTGTTCGTATGG